GATCTTCACTGTGCCTGGTTGGAGACACTACAAGATATGGCTGCCAACCGATGTCAGTGGCGTTCTTGTTGTCAGTTTCTATCCAGATTGCCTGAGTGAATGTCTGGAGGTGTAGGCACCTCGGAATGATTGTGTTAAGCTAGCACTAAGTCCCTTCCCCGTCCACCTTTATTCTTTTCTTTACAATAAGGCTTTCAAATAAATCATGGTTGTACGGCAGTGAAGCATCGGTGTTGAACACTGATGTCATGCTGTCGATGATGATGATGATGATGACATATACCCAAAATTATGCTTCAAGTCGCCAAAACAACGCAGCAGATTGAATTAACACCATAGTCAGGGTGTCGTGCACTATTCATGGGATATGGCCCCAACAAAACATCCCTGGATGTCTATAATGACGTACGATTAAGAATATTAACTGTACGTAACATGCAGAACTGATAGAACTTGTGTCCCCGAAACATATGCCTACTTGTGAGCAGTTTGAAGATTCCGTGTTTTGTCAAGATGACAAACAGACCGACCGGCAAAACGAATCCTCCAATTTATAACACAAGTATCCATTTTTCTTCCTCATTGTTTTAACGTCATTTGGCTAGGAATATAAATTGTTTCGCACGCGCAACCCTAGGGTTGTTATCATGAAAGGGGAACAAGAAGGCGAACGCCACAAGCGTGGCACATTACAAGTGAAGTGAAGGGAACTACTGGATGGTCAAGGGGTAGCAAACATCGGCAATCAAAAATCCTCTCAGTCCGGAAAGAAGAGGAGATCAATCATAGATAATGGGCCAGATGTAACCAGATGGGGTAGAGGGAAATAAACCAACTGCAACGACAAATGAAGTAAAACACAAAGCACGTGGTAGTTGTACATGCATTTGGTCACCAAAGATGAGGAGAAAGAAAGAGGCACGCACCTGGCTACTGTCCCTGTTATTTATCACCTCCGATGCAGGCATTTGCGTCCATGACAAAAACATGGTCACAATGCTGTACAAACAGAACGACAAAACACGTACAAAATAGAAAGTGTGCAGATGAGCGTGATGCATGCCTCAGTAGGTAACCTGATCTAACGTGTGGAGGAATGCATTTACTCGTGAGATGCGACAGGTACGCGGTTAGTGGGGTCTTGGTCCACATTGTTTGGAACGGATGAGCCGGAATGACCTGAACCCGGTTTGGATGACGGATTGACTGTCTGGAGCGGGTAGGTTGCTGAGGGCGAAGGTAAAGAATGGCCTCCTTGGGATGTCGCGGAAAGCGATTGCGGTTGCACTGGCGGGGGAATCACTGCATTCTGATTAAGCGGGGTGTGAGAGGACACACATAAGTTATCAGACCAACACAATTTGGGTCTTCGAATTCGCAGGATCGAGGTTCTCAAATAGCATAAGATGAAAAATCGACTCCAGGCATTGGATGTCAAATTTATTTGTAAGTACTAAAAATAGTAAGCATCCCATAGAGAGTGATACAGTATCTTTATCGGGGATACGTCTATAAGGTGGTATAAGGCTAATCAGAAAGTACGCGGCTTTGAGTACACATCAATCTCATTGTGAAAAATAAAAATAAAAACTGGTCTGTTTATCAATGAATATCCTTAAATTCTAAGCCCATGCCACTATAAAATACAGAACGTCACAATGAGCAAATACCGATGTCCTTCCACTTGCCACTATTACCCGACAAACTGGCCCCGCAAGAGAGATTTGGTGAAGCCCAGGAACCTATGTGTCATTTAGAAGATGCATTTTTGTCTCATAAGAGTAGATGGCTCAGAAGCAACGTTATAAGGTTTTGATGTCCTCAGGATAATTCCACCTCCTTCCAACTACGTAAGAGGGTGTTTTTTGACGTCAACAGAATCCGATAATCGCTATCGCTAATCAAAACCAGAAATAATTTAGCAAACTTCCCACTTATACATTCAGCAACGTGATCTGTCTTTCAAACGAAACCAAGCACGATGCATTGAAATGGAGATATTATGTAAGTGATCACCGGTAGTAATGCTGAGACATAGAGTGCAGGGGGGAATGGCGGTGGGTCGAAAGCTCCAAGCCGAAACCTAATCGACGACAGCAGAGTACAGCGAAAGAGAGTTATGATGAACACTGATAATCAAAAAACCGAGTAGTGGTCCACCGAACTTCAACTATGTGGGAATACATGCAACTGACTTCATTGCTCAAAGAACAAACAAGAAAGTTCGCACAGTGGGTGACGACTTCCGGGCGCTTGGGAATAGACATGCGAATGTCCTGTCACCAGGCTGCTGCCTACAAAACGTGGCGAGTCTCCTGGTTAGCTCAGCTCCGCCTTGAGACAAAAACTCGGTAAGCAACCAGACGACAAACACCTGATTAATTTCTCGAGTTTCCCCTCAAACAAGGCTTGTTGAACCGGTTGAAAGAATGGTAAAAAACATAACAAATGAAACCAGTCATTCACAATTAGTTGTTTACCATGTTTATGGTCAAAATCACGAGGTACACAGTAGGAAAGTGTGACTACAGAGTGCTTTGACTGAAAAACCTACTGAAGTGTGCTACTGCCTGTAACTAATCATGTTCAACACAGCCAAGAGCGAAAGCTTCGGACCAGAAAAACGAAAGTTGCCTACCGATTGAACTGAATTTTAAATCTTCTACCTCACGAACGTGCAGTCATAGGGCTCTCTTCTTGTTATGAATTGATGAGACACGGGAGCTGTGAGCTCTGGCAGATGTGGAGTGCAATGGCATATAGCGGAATACATAACTCCGCTGAGAAACATTCACGTGCCCACAGAGTGTCCAGTTGAAGAGGTATAGAACAAACAAGTAGACATGCACAAAAACAACTGACAGAGACGGCTCATGAATAGAATATCCCCATTCGATTCATCAATTGATAAGTTAAATAAAGCAGGCTTACATCATAGATTTGCCGGATTTGTTGTCCGGCCCATCGAGCCAGATACCGATTAAGTTCAGCGTTGGACGGTGCGGAAGCAAACTGCATCACCGATTGCATATCCAGAGTGTTTCCAGGTGGAACCGAATTAAACAAGTGCGAAGTGGTGGACTTGATTTTTTTGCTGCCTGGTGAAGGTTGAGGAGCCTCTTTCCAACTGAGAACGGGAACAGATCCTAGCGGTGCTGAGCTCAAATGATGGTCTAGAGCAGAACAGGCCTGGAGAAGATGAAATGGAACGTCAAGACATTGTTATCATGTAAATTGATATTATCTAAAGGACAGAGAAAGATGACCTACTGTTCGACATTGATTCTTCTTTTCGGGCACCCCGTTGAAAAGAGTATTTTTGGGGAAATCATCTATTCTCATGAGGGCTACCATTAAAAGGCGGGATCCCAAGGCTGGGCAATTAGGAACGAAGAGACATAAACTATGGCACAAGTCTACCTTGACCGCGTGTCAGATTAGCGACACTACTTGAGCTAGACAAATAAGTGGAGTGAGTAGCTTAGGCACCCCAAGACAGGCTTATGGAACCGCTCATGTTCTTCGTTAGGGCTCTATTCCTCGCGGACGGGATTGATGAATTTGGATCAGTGAATGAATGGATCAACTGGACCTCATACTCAAAATTTGCAAGAACAATACTTTAATTAGCTAGCGAAAAAAAAACATCAAAATAGACATGAGAGAACCATGGAACCATGCTACTCTGCCGTCCCGCCGAGCGAAATCCCGATATTTTTTGGACCCTTGTCAATCACTCCGTATGAACTTCGATTGGCATTCCGCCATTCCTGTTCCAAAACACTCATAGACTCCACTTGTGAAGACATCAGAGTTTAGACCTTTGTACACTCCATCTGTCGGTCAAATGAGGTTAAAAATACACGTTCACTAGTTAACATCTTAGCGAGACGGAGCAGAGTCTAGCAGAGGTCAATCACTGTCTTATCTTGCCCCCGCGTACTCATGGGAGCGACAGATAACGACGCCTCCGAATGCACACACCAAGGTCTCATTGACCGTGAGGTGATCGTATGACTTTGCCCATCAGTTTTTCACGTTGAAGTGCTTCTATAGCAGTTTACCAAAATGATATTACGGTTTAATTACGTGTCATATGCCGATCAAAAATGACACAATCAAAGTACAATACAATACTAACAAGGTTACCCAACTTCATAAACGAGAGACTTAGCTGGGTTACAGGTGAGTCCTCCGTGAAAACCAAATTGGTATGTAGATGAGTGCATTGGTCGAATGATACAATCATGTTTATCAAAAGTGAAGTTATGATGAAGAAAGAACGAATGCATAATTTTATCGTGGTGTGCGGAAGACGCGCAGCTTGATACTACCATGAAACTAATGTGATAAGCACGGTCCTGCTGATAAGAACTTGGAATTTCGCTAGCAAGATAAAGTGCGTAGCAGCATACTTAAAAGTGACATCCATCGAAAAACAACCGAAAGCAGGTTACAGGTACAGCGGCCGAGCTGAAGTTTCTGTTAATGCCTTGATGATCACAAGAAACAGTGGACGCCACGGCATTTTTTGTATGGGTGGTTAGATACAGCCTACGCGTTGAAACAAACTGGCCGTATCTATCGCACAAACAGTGATTTGAGTTTTAAATAGTGGTTGCAATCTTCCATGATAAAGAGGTGTCAATCTGGAGTGACCAAAACAAAAGCGACGAGGTTTATTTGTTCGAGGAGCTTGTTGATAAGAAAACAACTAGCTCTGACAGTAAGGAATCTCCGGTATCGTGTATACCCATTGATAAAGTTGTAGCCTGGCATCCGAGGACTGTAGGTCGGTTGGAGGAGTCCCAAATCCGTGCTGCTGAATAGCCCCAATCACGTTTGCCATAGACCAGCTTCCTCAATGACTTCCGGCACTTAAGGCAACATGAGCCACAACACTTTCACTGCCGGCCTGATTACTAAAGGCGGGTCAGAGGAATCGAAGTCGGTGCGCTAAACCACTTCCTCGTAGTGCCGACTGGATAGCTCGGACGCCGGTCTGGGTGAGCTAGGGGTTCATCAACTCCAGACACGGATAACCAACCCGTTTGTTTCAATATGCTGGTTAATTTCGACAACAGGAAATACGAATCATCTGGCGCCTCGGTACCAGTTCCAATCAGTACACAGGAGGGAGTCGTGGGACTCACGTGTGATAAATGTGGCAAGTGCTGGAAATCGAAAGCTGGCTTGGTAACCCACCATCGAGTGCACGACAATCAAAGTGTTGGTACGAAAATGGTTGCCCAGTTGGCCTGCGCCAAATGGGACCTAGTGGACCTGACCAAAGTATCAGTCAAATAGCGGTCTACTCCTCTGGCTTAGACAGACCGTGGATTGCGCCGTCACTACTGGAATCCCATGTTGACAGTATGCTTGCTAGTGCCGACCTTCTGGCATTTGCCCGACGGTTGCAGTCTGGCATCATCACACCGGAGCAAGTCTTGTCGCTCCTGGACCTCCACACCTCCAGGACATTTCCACACACCTAGAAAACTGTATGCTGACGCCATCGTCAGTCAGCCCATCGGATTCCGGTCAATCGAAAGCAGATCCGCCGAGCCAACTACACTGCCACCCGTCCCTATACCACCAAAGACGGAAAGATTCGGCGTCTGCTGTGCTCGACGGGTCATGGGAGGATCCATACAAAGGTAACTGTGGGCTACCTAGGGACGCCGAGCAGTATCGGAAACAGGTGCTCTCAGCTCCAAAACACGTCGATAGCCGGCCAAGTCGCGTAGTAGTACCATTGGATTGGAGCTTGATCGACCCAATTACAGGAGAGGAAGTCGGTCATATAATCCGTTTAATGGGCAATTCGTTCCCAGGCCTGGACAAGCTCACGCCCAGGGTGCTCCGCCAGCTCAATGCTAACGTGCTCGCTAAGTATTTCAACTTACTCTTATTATCTGGGCTGTCCCCCACATCTGTATCGTGCCCGTATTACCGTAGTTCCGAAGGTCCCAAATCCGACTGCACCGGATCAACTGAGACCCACCTCCATGTCATCCACTCTTGTCCGTTGCTTTCATAAGGTGCTTGTTGATCGATGGAGTCATAAATTGCAATTGCCCTCACTCCAGTTTGCATTTCTACATTAAGAAGGCTGTTTAGAAGCTACATCGCGTGCGAAATCATCCTTCTGTTGCTGCAGCAGGCAGCGTAAAACAACACGGAAGAGTACATACTACCGCTGCTAGAGTAGACGGTGTGGCACAACACTTGCTAGCTACAGGGCTATAGACCTTGCTCGTTAAAAGATCTTACTTACCAGTAACAGGCCGTAAAGACTGCGCAAGTTGTTTGGGTTCAACTGACATGACCGAGAAAAATATGCACGCGCTAATTCAAGATTCTCAGAACCGCCTTCCGTGTACTTGATCTGAGCAGGGAACAGAAAGAACAGAAGTATGTATTCGAACAATAAACGCTCAAACTTCTAACCCAAAATATTAATCAAAACCTGTGGTGCACCATACCTTTTGCTAGAATCAATTCCTTCGTTTATGCTTGTGACAAGAGGAGAACACTCATAGCTCCAAAACAACATTTCTCGCTAGGTAGTTTGGTCTTTAGTTTCTATGGTAAGAAATGAATCATGTCTTGAGAAAGTAGTATCACAGAAATACTGTTAATCCTAGTATATGAGCTAACGAGTGGACAGCAACACGCCTAGTTCTAACGATGCGCGGTCTTAGCGAACGCAACGAAAACGGTATCCACTTGCTTAGCTTCGTTGATCTCAACAACCCGTGGGTCTTCATTAAGTGCCACCAACTTGCGACCAAATAACGCTGAACTCAGACTGAATGGCAGTATCAAAACGACAGTGACGGTAGCTGTCACAAAAAAAGATCAACTGACGGTGGACCGAACCACTACAGAGACGTACGCCAAACTCTAAAACGAACAGAGTTTACAAAGCGTAACGAAACCGGTCTGGTGGTTTGCTGTCGGGTTGGTTTTGACAGATATAATGCTTGGCGTATTTTTTCATTGGCGAAGAGTAAAAACATTCACAAAAGTTTCGATCGCGAACGAACTAAAAGTTAACTGTGTAGGTGCTTGAAACCAGCTGGACAGCGGAACTGTCCAAAAGAGTGATGTGAACACAAATTCCAGAAATCCCTCGGCTGCCTAAAACTAATTTGCTTCTAAAAGAAACACGAAAAGAATATGGTCGTTTCTGGAAAGTGAATTCTCTCACGACAGTTCCGCAAACCAACGGAAACAAGAGAAAGCAAGGCAGTCACTGTGCAGGAGACAATCTTTCCAAACAAGAATAACTGCATGCTAACCTGTCAAGTTCAGGGACCTCAGACTTATTTAAAATCAGAATTTACTCTGAAGTAGCCTCCGAGCTGGGAGAAGGCACATCCAGAATAGCAAAAAATCGTTCGCTCTGCCATAAGTTTTACTATTCAAAAGGAAATCGTCCAGCTGCAGCACCCTTTCGGTGCCTAACTGCCATGCCACACAAAGGAGGCACGAGGGCTGGGATACTGCCAGGTCACCCAAGCCTAGACAGGGCTTCAAAAGGAACTGTTCTAGTTTAACATGCTCCCGGTATAAATGGCGATCAGTTGCGCTATCCAGCCAAGCACAAATGGAGTAAAAAAACATCGAGAGTCCGGAAGGACTTCTGGCATCATTCAGAAGACAAGTGATCAAAACGATTTGAAGTGAAATACCACCGACCACCTAATTCCTGATCTAGTGAGCAGACCATGTATTACAGCTAACCACATGGATTCGCTCACAGAAAACTTACCACAAAAACGCAAAGTTGATTTGACCGCTTCTATCAAATTGTGTCGCAATGTTATAAACGTAGAAACGTAAGCAAATGGAAATAGGAAAATCAGGTGGCATTATCACGCATCACAAAATAGTGGACATGGAAAACTGGAGCTAGTTTAGCAGACTGTTGATATGGGATTGAACAAAGTTTGTACTCTGATTCAGGGTGAGACCATTGGAAGGCAACTCCGCAGTGCGTCCCACCATACTGTTGTACGAGTCGGAAAATTGGCCAAGACTTTACAAAGCTGCTAGTGTCTGGCTACTAATGTCTCCGAAGCATTGCACGAATCCTGCGGGAACATCGGGTCAGCAGTGCTGGCTTTCGAGCAAAGCAGCTCAGGTTTGGATAAGTGAGCAAAGTATGCGTCATAGTTCGCGCTGGTCTGGTCAGTTGTTCCACGTACCAGAAAACCAGCTTCCTCGAAGCAGCAAAAGTGGCCTCGTTAACAGTTGTTCTCTCGTGTGGGGGTCCCGAGAGGGAGCGCACCAAGCGTTAGAAACACTGACAGACGTAGTCAACCAGTCAGCTAGTGGTGACTGATCCTTGCTAGCAGTGTGTAGTTCTGGACAGTCTTGGCAATGAACACGAAAAGCGAGTAGTCTAATTACAGTGAGGAATCGACGCACCGGTAATCCACTGTCTTCTATGGTCAACGAGGCTTGAATAGTCACACCTCGATGGTGTTGGCTCGAATCCTCAAGCAAACAAGCTTCACTTGAGCGGACGGTGAAACCCGGTGGGTAAGCTTCACCAGTTATGCGATTTTGACAGGAGCTCCACTCGTCACGTTGTATTATTCCCAACACATGTTTCCAGTAAGCTCGAATATGCAAACAATTGGGGAACATACCTAAAGTATCGTTCCACGTCTGGACCTCTGAAACTACAGGCGTACATGTCATTAGGGTAAGCTAGGAGAGTCAAGTTGAAAGCACCTATAAGGATCGGACTACGGCATCGTGGTAACCCACAATCTGAGCTGCCCGACCACCGGACGAGGACATGTTTAAGAACACCCACGTGACTTTCGAATATATTTTGACTATTCCAAAAGTCTGCTGAAATTTGGAGTGGATTAACGGGCACAATCCCCAATAAAGTAGTAAACTTCATTAAAATTACAAGTTAAGCGGTTCAGGGGGAATGATAGAGGTCAGGCACTTACCTCCGCATATCGCTGACAATAGAGATGATTGTGTGGATTGGAGAGAATCAGTTCTTCCATACAAAACGCTGCGTGCTTGAAATCGCCTTCGACAAGATACAAATCTGTAAGTTCGTTCCATGCTTCAAAATCACTCATGAAACTACAAAGAAATGGTTGCAATTTACGACTGGAGTGTATTGAATGGTTGAAAAAAAGCTATAAAAAAATAGCGAGTCACGTGCAAGTTACGCCTACTAATACCGCAGTCCAAGCCAGCTTAGTAGGCGTAAAGCAATACCAAAGCAACACATCGGTCGGAAACCTGAGCTGCATAGGTGGAAACAAGCTGGAATTTTTGTGGCGTCAGTCTACCTGTGGAAGAGGTCGATATCGCCTGAGAAGTATGACCAACACGGTCAGACAACCTACCTTACCAACCAACCCAACTGTTTATTTTCATGCCTCGTGGTTATGAACGTAGAACATTGCAGGTTTGCGACTGATGACAAAGCAATGAAAACAGTAAAAAAAAGTCGCAACATGCGTCTTCTGACAAAACTGTTCGAGCAAAATTTTTAAGGTAAAAGACGGGGGCTTACATTTTCAGATATTGACGAAGCTCGTAGATAGCCTCCACATTTTTTCGCTGGGCCTTGAGAATTGCGATCATTCGTTTACGAGCCAGCTGGTAAAGCGCGTATCAGTAAATAAGGTGTTAACGTGCAAGATAAGATAGAGTTAGATGAGAGGTGGACGAAGTGTATACAAAACAAGCCAGCGCGTCTAACCTTCCCAAGTTACTCGAATATGGATTTGAGCTAAAAATCTAAACGCTTAGTCAGGTCATTTAAATGAATCGATTTATCTGCCGGCTGCTATGGGGATCGTTACGTCAGAAGGTTAGGAAGAGCGGCGGAAAAGGGAATATCTGAATGTTCTTCATCCTAATTTGTATAGCGTATTGTGGGACTTATGAACGGTTCGGCAGACTCGCAGACGTTTGGGCTGAAGCCATCAGGAAATATCCGAATCAGTACACGAAATACCGCGGGAATCGCATACATAAATTACACAATCAGGGGTATCTGACGCAATCTACCTGCTACCATGTCGAAGCACCATAAATCCATTACCGTGTCTGAAGATACAAATTCAATCTAGCAACCGTACTTCCGTATTTCCTTTCTTCGTTTTTTTAATATTCACATTTAGAATGGTTTGCTATGGCGCATATACATGTAAGCGCCTGATGATTACATGTTGAAGAGGAGCCCCTTAGTCAAATGATACCTGAGATAATCGCGCAAGCAATTTGGGCCACCAAAGAACCAAACGAATTCCAGAAATTCACATCTGGTCAGTTAACTCTGTTATAAAAGTGTTCCGAAAGTGTGCACAGACCAGCCCACGAAATATTTAGACATGAACATTCTTCTTGCTTAGACGACATATATTCTGCGAAACACATCGAAGCATTCACGCGTAGTGTTCAATGTTATACGGCTTGCACTAAACCAGTAAGACGGATCAATAACTGACATGATATGAACACCTGTGTCTTGTTAATTTTTTTACGGGTTGGAATCACACGAACGGGTTAATTGTACTAGACCGAATAAAGCGCCGTGACCGAACTATGTATATGAACAAGATGCGGCAACAGAGGCAATAAAACATACCGTGTTCGTTGGATCATCATTAAGAAGCTGGGTGTAGACCGCATGTGCATCGTCGAATCTAGAATGAAAACATGAATATCAGTGCACGCCTCAATGAAGGCAAAGGGGTCTACGAAAACACAACTCAACATAGCATGTGAAAAAAACGTACTGAACCTGGTGGAAATTTATGGAGATTTTGCCGCGTAAGTGAAGGTCATCTGTGCTGGAAAGTCGATAAGCACTGTACAATTGTTTCATCCTGTTTCATCACTCACAGGACGAAATCTACATTAAAACTCTCAAACCTGCTCACACTACCAACAACAATTAGAGTTAGCGTGCCCGTCTTCCCACTAATTAGCTACTGAGTGCGTGACGATAGAACGTTTTGATCGGCGTGACAGTGGTACGTCGGTAAACATCAAACAGTGCATGTGTCAGGTTGCTGTGTGTGGCCTTTTGTTATGTGGTTGCGAAACAAGGCCTTTGCGAGCAGTGGGAACAGAGCACTTTTAGAGCTCCGTGCGTATTTATATCATGTGGCCCGGTGCTGAGTGGATCTTCAGGTGACGGCCTCAGAGGTTAACGTAGAATGGATTAAATGCCTTTCCCTCTGCACTTACGTTGTATTCTGTTAGTAGCATGGAAGACACTGGTAGTCTGACAGCGCAGGTATGACCGTAACCCAAGTTCCCAAGCCCCATATTACTGATAAATTGCGTCTGACCTCAGGTATAGAGGACAATGTTGTGAGACGATCGTTATAAAGATAATCTATAGCTTTCGGCCTAAAAACAATCTCTTTGGGTAAGAAATTTCATGAATTCAAACAAAAAAAGGATAGAAACGGTTGGCCTGGTGGAATACCCTTGGAATAATGTGAAATTTCAAGTTAAATCGATGAAAATCTTACCTGCCATTTTTTTCCAAATACATTCCAGTCAAGCGGTCAACGCGCGAACTTTTCTTGAACTGAGTCTTCAGCCGTTCCAAGCATTCCTAAAGAACGAATGGCATCATAAATGATCATTTCCATATAGGATATACCGGATCAGACCTACGAGTCAAAGGAAATAAGAAGACTAAGCGAAAAACTAGTGGAACCTTCTGGATTTGGATAAAATGTTCTCTGTACGAAAAGAGATAAACATTTAGCTAATTCACACGTGGTAATGTATACTTTGTCGCCATGTTCATATAACGGCTTACAAAATGACCGTTGCAGACGTGAGTTCTGTAAGCCAAGTAACTACGCAGAACTAAAGAAGCATATCATACGAGTTTCAGCCCAACAGCGCGAACGCCTGCAGAGAGCAACCGTCGCATCCGGATCAACTGTGCCAAGTAGACCGATATGATTTATCCTGACTGTGCTTACCCATACCTCACAAAAAAATACAAAAAAATTCAGCTGCAACACCCTTTCGGTGCCTAACTTCCATGTCACCGGAAGCACGAAGAGAGCAACCGTCGCATCCGGATCAACTGTGCCAAGTAGACCGATATGATTTATCCTGACTGTGCTTACCCATACCTCACAAAAAAATACAAAAAAATTCAGCTGCAACACCCTTTCGGTGCCTAACTTCCATGTCACCAGACGGAAGCACGATGGCCGGGATACTCCAGGTTACCCAAACCTAGACAGGGGAAGTCGAGAGGCAGAGGTCGGGTTCGAACCAAGAACCTTCCGGTGAGTGAATTAGCGCTCTAACCACTGAGCCACCTCACCCCCAAGACAGCAGCTTCAATTCTAATTCGAATTTGAGAACTGTCATCTCAGGCAGCGCCAGACAGTCTATCTGCACCTAACGAAAGAGAGGTGTTGCACATTAAGATCGAACATAACCTATTAGTTCAAACACAGAGAGAGAGAGAGAGTAGCATCGTCTTCACACCCCAAGGTACGGAAACAAAACGGTGTCTTAAATTCCGACCGCTTGAGGTAAAAACGAGCCGTTCGGAACGTATGAGCAGAATTCTTGAAAACCAAGAAAGCCCCTCGAAGCTCACACATTTGATCTGCGTCTTAAACCTTTATTGCGAATTAATTGCATGTCTAAACTGAAGTAACCACAATAGACGCTAAACAAGAAAGGTGAATTACTCGGGACTCACCCAAGCTAACCGGTCATCAGCCACGTCTAAAGCGGCAATGAAAACTTGTTCCAAAATCGTCCACTCTGGAAGTTTAAAGAATAAACAGCTAGACTGTTATTAGCGACCACAAAAAAGTAAGACACAATAGAAAAATTCACTCTCCTAACGCTCATACTTTTGAACGCATCCCACACTTCATGCTCTGCTGGATTGGTATGGCTGGTTTTCCCTCTGTTGCACCCACGCCACCTTGTACAAACAAGAAATGATGCTTAAACCTACGAAGATAAGACCAAGTTGGAAGAACAGTACTTGTATCATAAACCTGTACTCTGTGCTCACAAACCAACAAGACCCAGTGCCGTAAGTGTACAGTTGGACAAATGTCAAAGTGAACCTTTTGACGCAAAGGCAATGCATGCATGTTGTGTTCCTGCGTACCGAACACAACGGGCCCAGGTCGCAACATGACATCATTAGAGTGCGTTATTTACCAGGTTGCGGAACGCATCCTTGACTCTTATTTATTAATGTGGTGACCCGACACAGTGCTTGTTTCTAGGACGAGAAAATGACTTTTCCAGAACTTTAAAACTGCAGTAGAAATCACGTGTGCTGAGGTGGTACTGGGGTTAATTGCACAGGACATAACTCCTATTCAGTGACCATCAGCACCAACCTCATCCAGTCAATTGATTTAGTTTAGAAGATATCAGCTAAAGTCATGACAGTCCTGCACAGCTTGATACCACTTACATGCATAAGGATGTTACGGCAGCCCTAAAACATTCGCTATAGAGCCAAGTGTAGTACGCCGTCTCGAATAAACCCCGTTAAGGCAATACCATTATTGAGGAGATTTTTTCAACACAAACCTCCTCTAGGAAGCGAAATCCCTCCTAATAGCGGGCGATATACTTTTTGGTTCCGCGAGTCACCACCATGGGAACGTCCCGTTTCATTGGCATCATTTCAGTTGATGTATTAAGCACAGCCACCACTTGAGTGAACTTGACTCGACTTGACTCAGTCGATAATCCAGACTCGGACACCCGGTAATTTTGAGCCCCAGATAGCTCGGTGAACTTACTGACCGGAAGGTCCGTGGAACCCGACCTCGACTTGACTCAGTCGATAATCCAGACTCGGACACCCGGTAATTTTGAGCCCCAGATAGCTCGGTGAACTTACTGACCGGAAGGTCCGTGGTTCGAACCCGACCTCTGTAGCTCGACTTCTCCTGTATCGGCTTGGACAGCCTAGCAGTAACTCAACCCTCGTGTTTACTTCGGGTGGCTCGGCAACTAGACACCTGAAGGATGTTATGCTTGAACGACGACTACGTCTGGAGAACAAAGTGGAGTAACACGCGATAGCTCGACATTTCTCAATTCCCCAAGAATCATTATTGTTCTTGCGGTTATGTAGGGATGTGTATTCGTGATGACGAGGTACTTATTCAAGCCTAACTAGCCTCCAGGATTTGACCGTTAGGACGATGGGGTCTAGCGACCATGTTGTGTTAGTGTGTGGGAATGACGAAAATGCAAAATTATTAACTATCTGAAAGTAAATTGGTGAATATTCAAAATATTCACCTCAAACAAAGCGAAAAATCCCGTCCCAACGTCACAGAAGTTGCCGAAAAACGGCAGAATACGACTGAAGTCAAGTTACTCAAGCTCAGGCAATGCTCAATGCGGTCCTTATTGATCACGCACCAGGAAACACCCCCGTCAGAGAAACACTTGGAAACCCCATGAAGGTGTTACCTCGAGGGTGGAGCAATGCATCAGGTCTCGGCCATCTAAAATATCAGGATCAGCATGGGCCTCGATGCGGGTATAAAAACAACAAGCCGTCACCATATATATATATATATATATATAAATTCCACCGTTATATCTACGATCCAGATGGGCAATTTTTGCGGCCTCCCCAATCAAGGCTGGATCAAACGGTGAAGAACGCGTTATTACGCATGACCACTTACTTTCCACGTGATCACGATAGGACGTCAACATAATGGACTATTGAATTAGCTGACCGTCGGTAAGGCATAAACATCTCCTGACACCATCAGGGTTGAAAAACAATGCCATTGATAAGGATCCGTGTCAAGTGTTTGTCTCTAGCTGTGCGTAGGAAGAGTTATGTGAACCTCCTGCTGGGCGGTGGGTCATAACTACATAATCACCTTATAATTCGGGCAAACGTTGCCGGCGATGATTACGCGATTCTGTGGCACCTGAGAAATCTATAGGAGAAATCCAAATCCGCTCTCTAAGCTTTAAGAAACTTACTTCACTACTTGATAAAGCTACTTTTAAGGTCGATAAAAACTCTTCGACAGCCCACTACTGGTTTCGCCCTTCTTGGAGCTCAACAGGCAGGCGGAGTCATCGAATTCACATCACCCTTGTTTTCTGTATGACCATCAAAGTGTAGGTGATATACACTCATCTGTAAATTAACTCGGTGTTAACAGAAGGCTCAGTGAACTCGCTTACAATACTCCATAAGTGAAGATGCTGCACGAAGGCCACTCAATATTCAATAAATCGGAGAGCTTCTCATGACAAAACTCATCCTTTGGAATTCAAGTGAACATTAAAAGCGACATACTCGGCTGAGTCTCCCGTTATTACCAAATTAAGTTGAAAATGTACATACAGCCATTTGTGAAGTTCACTAAGCACACCTTCACAATCTAAGGTTAGAATCTGAGGAAAAACTTGCGCTCCGTATGAAAGAATAATGCTGGTCATGGATTAATTTGGTTGCTGACTATATTGGTGGGTTCACCACAGAGTGAAAGCAGTTTCGGGCTATTGGTTTCCCTGAATTCCACTCCATAATCACAAGTCTGTCAATGATCAAGCAAAACGTATCAATAATGTCGCACAACGAAACCAATACTACGTGTGCAGTGGATGGTCCATACAAGCACTTACTGTCATGTCCCAAATCAGTACTGTGACGAACCGTAGAATACCATAAATCCACGACGCGTTCGCTGTCACGAAGTCCACTCTCCCGAAGAAGCCGTAATTCAGAAAGAGCACCTAGAAAAGTGGTAGACGAAAAAAACAGTGAGCTTCAAAACAATGTTCCATTCCCAGAGGGTAAACAGCTGAGATCAAGTTCGTAATTATTTTAGCTGACCCAGAACTTATTGAACGAAATTACTGATCAAAAAATCGTGCGATTGTCCGGTTAAATGATAGTAAACTGTTTTGAGTTTAACTTGAAGGCTATGGTAAGTCACACTGCACCGATAACTGACCGCGTTTCTGTGGAATCGACCATCAAGTAGTAACACATGGACCTTGTCTTAATTTCATGATTTACCAACAGGCCTAAGTGTTGTCACTGTGGCGAAACACATTCTTCGGCTTGGTTTCCGCAGCACAGAAGCATTTCGTGTGGATGTGTATGGTTGTTTTTTTAATGCGAATAGGCGTCTCATCAGTATTGCGCGGAACTCTCAGAGATGACCGAAATATTCAACCGTAACCATGTTTGGTTACATATAAGCTAACCTATGCAGGATAACATTGAAAAGCAGGTTCTGACGTGCCGTACAACAGTTTATCCACGACCTTCATCGATCCCTTTCTGCAACAGTTGACGCAGTTTCCCAAGTATGTAGTCAACGCTCAGCCCCAGTCAATTCAGTCGCTTTGTTCGACCACCTCCTACATGTAGTTTGAAGTGACTCTAATCACTCAACTTCCAGTTGGACAGACAAGTAGGGCATCAAGTTTTTGAGGAAGTGAAAGCTCACTATTCATCAACTGGCCTGAAGTGTGAGGCAATAGAAATTAGGATGAGATTCTTGTCCATGAACGAAGTGGTTGTTCGTACCAAAAAGCTTTTTAGATAATTAATTTTCAAATAGTTATCCCTGGTCAGCTGATGATCCCTAGAACTAGACTTGTACAGATATCATCAGAACAATGGTTGCCGTACAATCACCTTTTGTGATATTTTCAAACTACTTTGGGCAGATTTTGTGGTTAGTGGAAACTAGTTTGAGTTCACCGTGTAGAGTCTCCACAACTAATCAGTAGTTTGTCTTCTGAATGACCAATTATTTAGCATACAGTTAAAGCGTTCACACAAGAATTCCAACCTTCATTGCATCAGTAAGTCTCATTTTTTTCTGAATGGACCGATTGAAACGGCAGATAAAGAAAGCTGTATCATTTGGTTGACAATCGAGAGAGACAAAACAAAGAATGAACCCTATCTGAGACAGAACATTTTGCTCCAACCACAGACCACCAATCGAACGAGTAAAAAAAACAGCAAACATCAAGCTTCATGATGTACGCCTGTATTTGGTTGAATGCCAATGCAAGCCGTGTACAACTGACTTGTGTACATAAGTTACAAATAATAAAGCAACTTAATCAAACGTGGATGTCTACTACTGGCTCACGTATGCTTGAATAAAGCATGGAAGTATTCCCGATCATACAAAAATGGGGGAAACTTAATCAAAAATCATAACTGGAATAACGATATCCGTGCAGCTTACAAGTTCAGTCAGCCACCATGTGGCCTTTAGTCAACAGGGCAAGGATGTCGACTCAATATACGCGCGCGTGGAGGAAACTTAGCCCCATGTAGACTAAAAGTAACAAACCACACTACACCGTTCACTCAATCCGCCAAGTTTTCTGCCCAAGCTAATCCCTAATGGGATGGGGAAAGTGCTTTTTTACGATTTCGGTTTCATTTTCTGCTGAAAGGGCAATCGCCTGACACCTAACTTCATGAAAAGAGGTCAGAAAAGGGTCCGATTTCTCGGTCTGATTAGAGCTCATAAGAAGCCTAATTACTAAGCTCGAAGAACACATCAATGGCCACAAAGAAATGCATCCGGGCATACTGCCAGGAAGTAGGGTATTGAAACATTCCGAAGAATCTAAGTAGGTCTTCTTAGTCAGCTAAGAAATCTACAGCGCATCCAGTTTCACGCCAAAAGATGGATAACTTCCCTTTCGCGTTTACATGTGTTTTGCGTAATACTGGGAAGTCCCGGTGTGGAAAAGGCGCTCTCGTAGAGCCTCCAATGACGTCTTCCAAGGCATAATTCACGTCCATCCCCAGATAAACATCACTGGAAGATGTCTGACTGTCTGAGCAGTCATTGTTTCAAAGAAGTTTGGCAAACAATCAGTGTATTTATTTACTAAACCTCTCTGAAAAATCACTGGGTTTCAGATGCTAAAGGAAAAGCAAACTGATGACCTCAACTATGTATTACTAGTCACATGCACTGATGTTATTTCACCAAAACTATGAACCCTACATTGTAGTTTTGCACGTCTCAACGATTACCTTCCGCAGTGACAGAGAAACACTTACTCGACTTAGCAGGCGATGCTCCAGTGAAGGAGCATCCCAGTTTGCAAGCAGTACGCCGAAGAAGATGAAACAAAGCCATCAGGATAAATGTGAATGATACGTTGAGCATAACACCCGAGGGCGAGAACAGAGCAGACGGTGTTGATGGTAGCTCCTCTTCGCCAGACATCATGACGGTGACACCAATTATGTCAGGACGTAACCAATTAATTGGAACTGAAGCGAAAGTGTACGAAATTAAGGAAGAATACAACCCAAAGCACAAATTTAACAGAAAAGCATCCAACTGAGGCGTGAGCTTTGATCTCCACCCTTAGAAGATGAGAATAACATTTGAGATCGGAAGTAGAAACCACTTAATGCGATCTGCAGAAAAATTCCGTGTGATCCAACCAGGAAGCGGTACGGTAGGAAGATAAACATTGCACAAATTCAATAGGGAAAGTGGATTCCCAGTGTATGAGAGAACGGAGACGAGGGTTGATTTATTCAACGGCCTCGCTGGTTATCAGGAAAAATGAGGATATTGGACCGACAGCCACAAAAGTTGTAGCAAAAATAAGTTGGTCCTCTCTCTTTCGTTCACGGGAAAATTGGAGAACAGGAACGGGACTGTCGCTAATCGAAGATGATGGCCTAATCGGTAGATTGGTGTTGAAATGTTCCGACGAAGTACGAAGCAGCAAGGAAAACTATAAATTTGGTACGGGTCGCAGGTGAGTGTCGTTAATTACTGCCATCCATCTCGGGGTCGTCATCCAAATCGACTGAGTTTACTGCTCGGAGCTCTTGTGCTTCGTCACTAAACCGTGGAGTGTCTACCCCATGGAGTGTGCCCAGTCAGTAGATGTCCGAGCAGAGAAAACTATGTGGTTATTTGACAGACAAACTGCAACGCCCATCAGTGTGACCACAATGTGACCCGCGTGATCAGTCTGCCGCGAATGCGTTTATTTTTTCAAAAACCAACTGGCATACCTCGAAATTGGAGCAGCACGGAAGGATCGAAAGCTACTGCGTCGTGACGGTTTGTGCCATCGTGACCAACTGAGCTATTCTAGGGGGGGAATCCACGCGACACTCTACAGTCTGCCGTAGTAGGTTGGTCGGTAGGTAGAGACCAGACTGACATGCTCTTCAGTAAATCCCAGATAGATTTATCCCCATATTACACCCAAAAAGTGGTTGATAGCATATTAGTACTCAGACCTTCGGTTCAGCGCCCGATCCATAGACCTCGTTCTTGTGTTTGTGTTGCCCCTTTTATTATGCGAACTCTTGACGCCGAAAAACATCCTGATCAACACGTTATACAAGTCTGTGTAAAACAGTATTAGCTGAATCCTTGGGAGACGTCAATCACGATTGAGACGAAATAAGAACACGCGCGGGCAAGAAACTTGACACATATTCCTTGAGCATCTAAAGAATATGCACCAGATTTCAGAATACTCACGGTCATTCCACAGTGCAAACTGAACACAATTAAGCCACCTCTGACAGACAGAAACTGAAGCATATCCTTAGTGCGGACAGAGAATTCTGATGCATTCAGGAGGCTCTAGAAACGGAGACAGGCTAGTGCGGCTGGCAATGCTCGGAAACTTAACCTCATATAAAAAAACACCCAAAACCTGCGTTTCCGTGAGGTCACCAAAGCTAATATCGGATAAATGCAACACAACAACTTGCGTCTTAATTGTTGGGCAACAGCTTAGTTGGTCGCCCTTTTCCGTGTGTATATCATTTTCTCGACCTGCCTAAATCGTGTCATGATCTGTGAGAACTGATATATCTTTCTACCTAGAAGCTCTATTGGGCTTCATGGCCAGATGAGCTCCCACCGGCACTATTCAGAAGTGATTGTGAATTTTCGTTTTGTGCATCGTCCAGGTTATTGACAGTGATTTGCGAACAAGAATACGTCCAGGAAACTAGTAGCAATCAACCACTGGCGCCGGAAGGATGTTACAGCTGGGCGATTATTATTATTCAACTGATTCTGGCATGTCAGTAACGAACCAGTCTACAAGCGAGTACTGGATGATGAGTCAAATTTGTCTGAGTAGCTAACTTCAGGTCTGGTGGTTGGATCATTTGCTACATATGCTCGACTGTTGTTTAACAATGAAAAACACTTGCCAGGTTCGCAGAGAACAACTCACGGCGTGATGACGTGACATAAAGACGGCTACTGTTAAGTGAAGAGCTTTGTGATCTTCCAGACTCCCCGAGTATGATCTACGTTATTCACTTTGCGTATGGCTGACAACCCGCATGATTAGCTTCTCAGGTGAACTGCCTGGCTACCGCATGTCTGTTGTTGTGTGGGGGCATTGTGTTAGATGAGATATGAAAAGTATTCGAACTCAATCCTATTTATGAGATCCTGGTTAACATGTTGTCCAATCGTTTATTTCGAAGGTTTTAGAAAGTCAAAGCGCCTTCCTCTTGACCGTTCCCCTATGGACATGGAGCCTTTGCAACAAGTTTATATCCCTTTCGTTTCTTTACACCACCCATTCATGTTTGTGTGGCAGCTGAGCACCAGTTTACCATCACTGGTGTAATGCCCACTATTTTTATGATGAGCACTGCCAATCTGATGTTTTCACCAGGCTTGAACCATGCGTCTAAGACGACCAAAGGCAGCGAGTTTCCGTGTATCATCGGTACACAGTGACCACATCTCTAATCCACAGAGCTATATGCATCGCGCAGCTTCGGAGCATACCATACAGAGATACATACGGAAAAACGTTCCCGTTGGTGATTCAAAATTTCCTTAGTCCACGAAGACTTACACAACCGTCCAGACCAATGATTTTTCAATTGACATTTCGTTCTGCAAGTGAAGGCACTCTATGATGAAAAAACCGAGAGGGACTGTACAGTTGCTTCACCTTTATTATGGATCATTAGCAGTGCGCATCACACTAAACTCTAAGGGGTTTCGAACCCGCTGTGTGTTGAGCTAACTGCTTCGTCACTCTCCTCTCGCTCCCGGCTGTAATGCGTGACAACCATAGGCCGCTGAGATAGGATGTGCAGCGGTCGGCATTGCTTTAAGTTACCACGCGGAAGGATAATTGACTGGATATCCACTGACAGTCACCTCTGTCCGGTTCGTCTGACAACGTCTGAGAAGGAATCACGCAAGCAGGAAGTTAACCGTATCATATCCGCTTGTGTCCCAACCGACTGTAGCTCTGATACATCAGACAAGTTTTAGGGCGCCATGGGTGCCGTTCTACAGCGGGCTTAAAGCTTAGATGTTGTAGTTGCTGGAGACCTGAATTCACAAGTGGGCAGGCTTAGCGCACGTGAGACCAAACTGGGTGGTCAACTTGGATCGGATTCAGTAGGCACAGACAACAGCAAACGACTACTTCAGTTGTGCGTACGGTGCAGACACTTTGTATGTAGCAATAATCTCCGAAATAGCCGAAGTCGTCCGGCCGTACGGTGCTCTCAAGAAGTGTGCCCTGGATCCTAATTCATTTGTCTGGAGTCGGCTCGCTGTTTACTTTTCAGGGACAGAAAACTAACTTAACAACTGATAGGTTGCCACACCACAAAGTTGAGTAAATTCATTAGAATCACCTATTGGACTCTTCCGACTGTTCTACCGTCAAGCGCCAAATCATAATGGAAAGACATCGCTACGTCTTTGCAGTGTCTGGAGTTTCACCAGCAACATGACAGCGCTGGCCTCACTCAAGCACTCAATATCGGGCAAAACAATGGCACAACTCTAATCTCAGAATGAGGTTCCCACCGGTCCATGCGAATTTTCAGGCGTCAATCGAAACCTAGCGTGTGTGGTGACTGTGAAGCCTGGTAGATACGGAAGGCTAAGGAAATGGGAGAAACGGAGAATCTTTGGAATGCCCGATTATTTGTGTGTCTGCTACTTTACCATCAGAACAAATGCAACACACAATGTTAAACAACTTTCAATGTCTCGCTCTGGATTTATACAGACATGTTTAAAAACCAAGAATACGGCAGCGTGAATCACAAGTTGTGGATGTGAAGCACACATCGAAGGACTGTTTCTCCCTCCTTTGCAAGACTGAAAACAATGTCGTCCATATATTCCATGTCGAAAAGATTCCCACTTGGAGAGATTTGAACACCAAGTTTTGAAGACCTTCCAGATTTCATCAATCACGAAACCAAAAAACTGAGTGGATACAACTGTCGGATACCAATACTTGTAAGAAAGCCTTTGAAGAGCTCTCCATACACTCTCACGCGCCCACAATTATGTGAATACAAAGAGTGCATGATATTCACTAAACTCTGGGGTAAACCCAGTTGCGCAAGCGTGTTGAAAAGAACAGAGCGGTCGGTGGAATTGAACACCCTCTCGAGGTCAAATAACATCAAGATTGTAGAGCGCCTATAGGCAAGTCGTTGCTCCAACACTGGATGGTACCGAGGCCTCAGTGTTGTTATGTTGTACATGATGATGATTATGTTGAACACTTGACGGAGTGTGAAAATGTTATCAACACAGCCCCTTCCCGGCCGGAATCCTGCTTGCGGTTCCCGGATCTCGTCCTCAGGCGTCGTAAAATAAGTGGCGTAAAGAGCCTGATTACAGCGGAACTCAAGCTAATTCCCGTTTGCCACACACTCGTTCAGTTGTAGCAACCTTTCGGTGCCTGTCATGCTACCAGAAGAAAACAAGGGGGTAGGGATACTTCCAGAGCGAATTTACTAAACGCAAAGTCCGTGGTTCGAATCCGACCTCCACCTCTCAAATTCCCCAACCTAGGCGTGGGCAACCTAGCAGTATCCCAGCCCTAGTGTTTCCTTCGGGTGGCATGGATTCGATACCGACCCCAATACTCAAGACTCGGCAGATACCTGGGAGCATTGGTTTTGTACTTTCACAAACTCCCTAGAGTCAGTCGGTTCTCATTCACCAGATAAACTGAAAACCTTGTTCAATTATGTCTCCCCTAGTGTTTACCGATTCATCAAAGACTGCAAAGGCTATGAATCAGCCATCGAAATCTTGTGAGAAATTTACGTACAGCCGAAAAATGATGTTTTTGCACGGCATCTTTTGAACACTTGTAAACAGGACGGAGCTCAGAACCTTGATCAGTTTGTGCAGAAGCTTCGCAGTTTATTGCCAGACTGCCGCTTTACAGCCGTCAGTGCAGAACAGCATACCGATGAAGCGTTACGAGACTCATTTATTAGTGGACTTTATTCCAATACTATACGCCAGAGAC